GGGGGGGGGGGGCGAAAATGCTGCTTTGCAAAGGTAGAGTGTTTCTCTCTCAAATTCAGGGACTAGGCTCTTTCCAAGCCACTCGGGTGCCTGAGTTTTAAAGGCAAGCTGGTCTCTCCAGCTTGGTCTGTCCCTGGGACCTCGCCACCGTCACCTTCATACTCTCCCTTCTTACTGACAAACTCAGCCCTTACAACTTTGAGGGAAGACTCTTCTGGATGCCTTTTCTGGCGTCCAATGGAAGGGCTGTCGCTGCCCCTCAGGGACCAATCCAGTCCCCTCCTTTCAGCTGTTACCTAGGCAACAGCTTTCCCTCTGCTGGGTTCCTAGGCAGAACATTTTACCTCATGCGGGAGACAATGGGCCAACATGGTAACCTCTTTAGCTGAGGTTTAAACTTGTCAGCTAATTCGCCTCAGGAGCCTTCAGCCTACATTGACTCCTTGAAGTCCAGACCTGCACAACAGCTTTTGTCGGATGGCGTTGTTATTCACTCACTCACTCTCATACATGCACGTGCACGCACGCACACACACACACACTAATTTCTGCTGTTACAACCTATTCATAAGACTTTAGCTTGAAGTAAAACAGTTGGGGCACCCTGAGGAATCTCTGTGGCCCCCAACACTTTGAGGGAGGATCACAGCCCCATACCCCTGCTCCTGTGATCCCAGATTATTGCCCCTAAACCAGTCCTGTGGAGAACTCTGGACAGCCTCAGCTTTCCAATTTGTTTACTACTCCCTCTTGATGGTCAGACTTCTTTGGCCTTCCTAGAGGGCCAAAATGGACGAGGCCTGCAGAAAGGACCCCCCAGCGCCATCGGTACACCTCTCAAGGCCCATCCAGGATTGCGCTGCTGAAATTCGGCACCACCGTTTTTGTGGTCCCAATAAGCTCTACAAGAGGTCTTGTTGTAGATGGCTGGAGATGAGACACATGGTGGCTGATCATGGGAGGGGCCTTGACCTTCCTGGCTGGGCCTTTCAGCCCTCCCTCCCTCCTGTCCAGGGCATGATGCAACTTCTGGTTATGGGTAAAGTAGTTCTTCTGCTGGCATTACCCATCTTCCTGGAAGAAGGAACCACCTTGACCAGGGTTCTCATCCTTAATACCAGCTTGCAAAATGGGACTCCTCTCTCAGCCTTAGCAACTTGCTCACCTGTAAACTGGGAATACTACTACTACTACTACTAATAATAATAATAATTCAACTCTCCTCTGTCACCTCCTGCCATTAGTAGCTTTGACATGTATGGCCAGAAAACAGCAGCCCGCTCTCATTTTCAGATTGAGACAAAAGCATCAAACCTATGATTTCAAAACTAATTTGATTAAAAATAAGAAAAAGTAAAACTTTCTTTTATCTTGCATAGCCAAATCCCCAGACAATGACTGTGTGATGGAATAAGTTATTTAGGATTGACAAAAATACAAAGAGCATCTTCAATATCAGTCTCCCATAGAGATCAGGCACAGATCCAGAAGGCTAGATCTGAAGTTGAAACCAGTGGAGTAAAACATGTAAGTTTTCACAAAGACAGTCAGCTTCTGATGCAAGAATGAACAGGGAGACCCAGGAAATTATAGGCCTATTAGCTGAATATCTTATCTGCTATTAAACATAAAATTATTAAACATCTGGTGGCCTAGGCCTTGCTCAAGGATACCCAACATGACTTCGCTAAGGAAGGTCCTGACTATAACTCTGTCTTACTAGAGTTTTGGAGGATGTTAATAAGCATGTAGATAAGGGCAGTCAAGCAGACATCATCTACTTAGATTTTCAAAAGCTTTTGATAAAGTCCCACATCAAAGACTTCTCAGTAAGCTTAACAGCCATGGAATAAAAGGGCAGGTCTTTTAGTAGATAAGCAACTGCCTAAAGAATAGAAAACAAAGAATAGGAATAAATGGACATTTCTCACAATGCAAGGATGTAACTAGTGAGGTCTTCCAGAATTCTGTCCTAGGATCAGTGCTTTTTATAAATGATCTGGAATCAGGCATGATTAGTAGAATAGCCAAGTTTGCTGATGACACTAAATTACTCAGAGTGGTAAAAACAATAAGGGACTGTGAAGAGCTTCAAAGGAATCTCTGAACATTAGGGGAGGGGGTGTCAAAATGGCAGAAGTCATTCAATGTGAGCAAGTGTAAAGAGATGTACATTGGTGTCATAAATCCTAATTACTTGTACACACTAGTGGGATCAGAGCTAGCACAGACTGAGGAGGAAAGATTTGGGATTAACGATAAATAGTTCAATGAAGGTGTTGAGATAGAGGCTTAGTAAATCTTTCTTCCCGCCCACCCATCCCCTCCTCCAGTCGAGGCTTGGATTTTGCATCCTCCTGCCTGTCTAAGTGTGAATTGGCTATCCAGTTGACTATCAGGGGATGGCAGGGTTTGCCATGCTCTGCTTCACTGAATGGGGCATTGCCCATTCACCACAGCTGCACTAAATGGTTTGCCCTTACATGCCAAAAGCAATACTTAAAAGGACTGAAATTTTCATTCTGCTCCCTCCAGCGATATCAGTAAATCAATACCAGATCCCTCAGTATAATTCTGGAGCGGCTTAGGGAGAGCCAACTGTGGACCTATGCTTTACACTTCTCTAATTCTGCATCTTGTTCTTGATCAGAGGTTTTGCCCTGTTGTTTTCTACCTGAGATTTGTAGTATTGCAGGTTAATAAAATCCTCCTATATAACTTCTGCAGGCTCATATTTCCCTGATGTTCTAGTTCCTCAAGCACACCAGGATTTTTCCTGGTTTGCTGGACAAATCTCTGTACGTGATGATCTACTTAGGAGAGTGCTTTTCAATGAGGAAAGTGAACTTGGAGAGTACTATTGAATGGAGGTGCCACAGGGCTGGGCCCTGGGCCCTATATTGGAATTCAGTGTCCAAAGTGAAGTGACTTCAGACCAGACTTCAGACTTCAGGTAAGAGAACTGAAGTCCTATGAGGAATGGTGTAAGGAATGCAGAAGAGAAGATTGAGAAGATATGTGACAGCAGGTTCCCAATATCTAAGAAACTGACATATAAAGGAGGGAGTGGACTTGTTCTTTTTCACCCTGGAGGGCAAGACCAGGACTGGTGATTGACGCTGAAGGGAAGAAGATTCAGATTAAATATTAGGGTGAAGTTGATGGTTAAGCTCTTGAAAGCTGTCAATCAGTGGAATAGGTTGTCTTGTGAAGTGGTGTGTTCTCTTTCACTGGAGGCTAAAAGGCTTCAGCACACCCTGGCCCAAGCAGAGGGTCGAACTAGATGACCCCTGAGATCATTCCAATGCCATAATTATATGAACAGACCTTAATTTGCTTCATTGTTTTGTACCTCCATAGCAACAATTGCTACCAAGTCTAGAATACATTTTTTTTTCTGCAATGAAATGCTGTCAAGTTGATTTATAGCTCACTGAGAAGGAGTCAGCATGAGACAGATTATGAGAGCTGGAAGCAGCTATTTTGAAGGGAAAGGAAAACAGCCCTGCTGGATCAGGCCTCTGCCTATCTGGCCAGCATTCCATCTCAAATGGTAGCCCAGGAGATGCTTCCAGGAAGCTCACAAACAGGAGCTCAAGGCTGCTCTGGTCTCTCTTGTTGCCCCTATGCCCCTGATTCGTTCTTCATTTTAGCAGTTGGTTGCTGTTGTTCCTCTGATCATCTCAGAACAAAATCTATTCAAACAAAGGAAGATTTTAACCCAACACATGGCATGCTCAAATAACTAAATTAAGAGCACACTGAGGATGCTTTCAGACAAAGATTTTAATATACCATACTCCTGGAATTATACAAGGGTATACACATTGTACATTGTATAATCATACAATGCATAATTATCTTCCACTTTTTCTTCTTTCCACAAAAGATTTTTAAAAGGATAAAAGAAGAACAATCCAGTTTGGCAAGGAGGGAGGGAAGGCTGTGGTTGGGTGCCTTAGCAAAAGAGAACTGGCAAACAACAGAAGTATTTGCTCTCTGTAGTCCATAGTAGCTAAGTTCATAGAATGCAGGAGTGCACTTGTTCAGGAGTGCCAAACTCAGCCTTCTGTCTTGACCATCTGACTTATTTTGGAGGTTGTATGTTACACCAAGAACATTCACAGCAAAAAAGGGAACTGAGGACCCTGTCTGGATAATCTCTTTCAGATGGACACTTCTCAGCATATGTCTTTGTGATGAGCACCTTGGAATCGTTACCTTGAGAGGGAGGACATAAAAAGAGTGGAAATAATGTGGAACAACAGCCCTTGGTTCCAACTCCACGGAGGTGGAGTTATTATAGAACAATGTTGGGGCTCAATCTATTCCACCTTCCTGCTTCCAACAGAGGACAGCCACCTGCTTCTGCAATGCTTGCTCTGCTGCCACTCCACAGCAAGGATAGTTATAGTAGCATAAGAAATGCATCACTACAACTAATAGTCAATGCAGAATATTTGTTTGTGTGTCCATTCTGTGACAATAGAACTATATCACACAGTTCCTTTGTTTGAGGTCCAGCTTCTGTACTTTTAGCAGCAAATTCCTTGGGCAAGAATCTGGGACTTTTGTATTTCTTTACCACCCCTCCCCCCCTTTTTTTTTTGGAGAGAGCTAATAAATATAATGATGAAGAGTTTTGGAGAACTCAGAAATGTGCACATTCTTTGGTTCCTCTTGGTTGGTCCTAAGATGCATTTTGTTGAATTTTAGAACCAACTTCTAGAGAGCAAGGAAGATATGCAGAAGCTATTACCTTGGCAAAAGGGGATAAAACATTTTGAAATCCAGAATGCCCAAATAACATTTGGAAGTGACTCAAGCAAACACCTCCCTAATTCACTGAACTATAAGAAAGAGGAGGAGGTCCAGAATAATCACACTTGCAACATTCTGTTGTCTCTCAAAACGTTACACATTGCTGTTCTTGCTCAGAGCAAATGGTCATGCCCAGACATTTCCAGTTGGAGACTTGTTCTTTGCATGTGTAACAAATAATGGAATGAGCTGCAAACCAAGAGAAAACCTTTTTAATAGAGCTTTTCTATAGAAGCTGTTGTGTAACTGCATTGTGGTAATTCAGACTTTCCAGGGTGTGTGTCAGAATTAGATTTTGGCTCAGTCCAAACATTTGTTTTTAATTTTTATTTATTTATTCAATTTGGATGCTGCTTGACTTCAATCAACTTTTTGCCAGTCCCAGTTGGCTTGGGAGGTGGGAGAAGGTTGATGGGAGTGTGCAATATAAATGCATTGCATAATGGGTTAATAAGCATCTATCTTAGAGCTTATTTTGTCAAACATGCAGGCACGCAGGCATGTGTGCATGAAAGCGCTAGGAAACATCATGGATGTGCTGAAATGGGGGTGTTTCTTGGGGAGATTCCATGGGTCACAACAATGGGACTAGGAACTACATTAGGCCTGGGGGCCAAGGATTGCCTGCATCCTGATGGCAACCCCACATGCTCCAGATTTACACTGTTCTTCCTGCAGTTCTTGGTCATTGCAAGCTGTTCTTGCCCCTGAGGGCATCTGCTGAGAATTCAACAGCCACTCCAGTCATTCTTTTCCCCAATAAAAATCTAGTCTAATAAAAATTTGAGTCAAGATGAACTAGTGACAATAATACAGAAGTGATTTGCCTTCTTTCAAGATGGTGTGTGGACTTCCCAGCATATAGCCCCGGTCTTCCATCCAAGTACTCATTCACTCCTTCCCTGCTTTGTTTCTTGAGATTAGTCCAATTTGGCTAGGCACCTAGTGATACATTGCTGCTCAGTTGATTTGTTTGATTATATTTCCTGTGAGAAATAGAGTCAGAAAACAAGATGTTCTAAAAGGAAGCGGAAGAAGTGAGAAAAAGATAGAGAAAGAAGACAGTCCTGGGTGTCTGCCTTGTGAGGCAGTCTAGAAAAGAAGCACATCAAGGAATACTAGCTCTAATTTTATTGCAAGGTTACATTAACAGAATCTTGCAAGTCTGAAAGTACATCTCTCCCACCTCACCTTTAAAGTCCAAGAAACTAGGGAGGGTCCCTTCTGAGATGTTTGCCATGCCCCCATTCCTGCTGCGGGCTAAGCTGCCTCTTATCTGAAACATCGTCTAGTCTGCAGTTCTTCCTCCTGTCTGCCAAAGTCATTCCCACATCCCATTACAGGGGGAAAGGCAGAAGGTCTGTCACAACAAGCAAAGGGATGGCATTTTCAAGGAAGTAGATGCTGGCCCAAATAATTCACCAGACCCAAACAGGCTGGCGTGGCAGCATCTCACTGCAATAAGGGTAATGACAGCAAACAACAGTGCCTAGCCATGGCCATCTCCTTGACAGGCTGAGCCATCTGTCTCCTTTTCTGGGGAGACTTTTTCCATGTCACCTTTCTGTCCAAGAAAAACAAACCAGATCATTTTTAACCCAATGCTCCAGCCATATCTGTGCAGATGCAACTATGCACCAGTGGAATTCAATCCCATGGATACTAAAGGGCCTTATTCTACAGAAATACTGAGGGATTCATGTGATTGAAGATAGCTGTCCCGGCTTAGAATCCTTAACTGCCTCTTCTTCTGTAGAATAATGTAGAGTTGACCTTGGGGAAGAAGGAGAAAGAAGGAAGGAAGGAGGGAGGGAGGGAAGGAAGGAAAGAAAGAAGAGTTAAGGGGGGACTTGCAGAAAAAACTCCTTGAGAAAGAAGGAAGTTGAGAAAGAAACTCAAAATAACCCTGTCTTGATTTTGTTTAGTATAAGATGGGGCAGAGTGAAACTTGGACAGGCTTTCAAGATTCTGTTGTTCTACCTTAGTACAGTGATACCTCGGGTTACGAACTTAATTTGTTCCGTGACTCTGGTCGCAGCCCGAATTGGTCGCAA